CCCTTAAAGGCCGGAAATTGTATTTAGAGTTGAAGTGGTGAAAGGTTGCTTAGCAACAAGGCAGAAGACGCGGGCTGCACGGTGCAGGCGTACACGGGCAGGGGCTGTGCGCACGCGCGGCCAGCGGCCGCCTACGTGCAGCTGGCTCTGACGGTTGCTAGGGTGACAGGAATACAATATGGCGGTGGGCCCCTTCAGGCTCTCTGGTGGAGGTACCGCTGCGGGGGTCCCCAGCCCCACTTCCCGCCCTTTCTTTCCAGTCCAGGGTCAGCGAGGCGTTATCGCCAGCGCCTGCATCCGGGATGAAGAGTGAGTGGTCCGGGAGGGGCGGGGACCGCGGGGCGCGGGGCGCCCGGAGTCCGCTTGGCCGCCTGCGGGCCGGGGTCACACGCCCAGTTCGGGAGTGGTGATTTTTCTTTTCTTTAGTGTTGCACTGACAAATTCTTTTCCTGAACATTCGGCGCTCAGTGGTGAGCGCTCGCAGTGTGACTCGCTGCCCTGGCTGTGCGCTTTTTGTTATATTTTGGATCAAGCAGTCGTGGTTTCATAGAACTTGGAAGCAACCTTTAGGACATTAAAAACGGTTATTGAAAAAAAACCCCAAAAACCGGTTATTGAGAGTTGGGGACTGAGGTAGTCAGCCTAGAAAAAGTAACTGGTAACAAATTTCACCTGCGATTGGATCTATGGCTGTGAATCCCAGCGCAGCCAACTGGCACGTAGTTGTGGTTTATGGTTGTAGCCAGAGGTTTAGAAAATCCCAGCCTACCGGGTTCTGGAAAGATTATGTTAGGAATGGGCTGGGGATTTAGTTCAGTGGTTCTGGCGCCTGCCTTGCAAGCGCAAGGTCCCAAGTTCAATCCCCGGTACCAAAAAAAAAAAAAAAAAATTATGTTAGGTGTAGTTGTGATGCTAAATGCACCCTGTATCCTAACTGTCATTTGCTCATTTGTTTATACTATAAATTTCATAACATATTTAAAATAATTCATTTGTTTAGCCTTTACATTTTTATTTTCTCCTGTTGGATGATATGTTTACATGTGTATCTTTTTTCATTAACACAAAGCTGTAGTTGGAATACAAGGTCTAGTAAAAGCTTTGCACTTCGTAAGGACACATTTTGTACCTTGACCCATTTTTTTTTCCCCAAGTATTTACTTTGAAAATTTTCACATGTATAGAAGAGTTGTAAGAAGAGTATTACATTGAATACTTATATTGAATATTTATAAAGCCTTCAACTTGATGCAGCATTTTGTCATTTTTTTTTTCAGTACTGGGGATGGAACCTAGGAGTGCACTACTACCGAGATACATCTTTATAATTTTGAAAGGATGTCACTAATTAGTCCAGGCAGACCTTGAACTTATGACCCTCTTGCCTCAGCCTCCCAAGTAGCTAGAACTGCATGAGTATGCCATCATGCTGGCCTTACTTTTGTGTGCCCACTTTTGCTCTGGTTTTTTCTTTATATATATTGATTTATTTTCACCGACCTTTTCAGAGTTAATTGTAGACATGACACTTCACTAATAGCTAAGGAAGTGTCTTTATATAGCCATATATTAGTGTATTACTCCTCTGTTAATATACATCACCCAGTAACATTTCACATACTCTTATATTTAGGAAATTTGACATTGCTGCAATTCTGTTATTTAATATGTAGTCTGTATTTCAGTCTTTCCATTTATTCTAATAACATCTTTATAGGGGTTTTTATTTTTTCTAGGATCCAATCAAAAGTCACAGATTGAATTCTATTGCCATATTGTTTTATCTCCTTTAGTCTGATACAGTGTGCCTCTTGCCTCATGTGTCTTTCATGACAATGACATTGTTAAAGAATCCAGGCCAGGTATTTTGCAGAATATCTCCCAGTTTACGTTTGTCTGATTATTTCTTTCTGATTAGGGCTTTAGAAAAAAAATTTTTTTGAGACAAGGTCTCGCTGTGTAATCCAGGCTGGCCTTGAACTCACTCTAGCCCAGGCTGGCCTCTAACTCCTGACCCTCTTCTAGCCTCTGCCTCCCAAGTGTGCCAGCACACCCAACTGATTAGTTTTAGTTTGTATATTTTTGTGGGGAATAGATCAGGTGATGTGTCCCTGTCACTGTCCCTTTACAGAGTGCCACTGTCAGCGCATCACAGTCTGGGTGGAGTTGGATCATGGCTCTGGCACCCTTCAAGTTCCACTCCTTAGAGGCGACCGCACACTTTCCATTGTGTCTCACTGTGTGTGTCTGTGTAAATGCGTGTGTCTCAGGGAGGGGGAGTGTGAAGAAAGAAGTGGGGATATCATGCACAGGTACCAGTTCCCTATAATGAGCGCTATCATTGTGTATATCTAAAATGTACCAATAAATGTTTTTTAACAAATAAATTTTATTTTATCTCATTCACCCCTCAACCCCTCCCCTCCCTATGTACAGAAGCTTTGTTTCCATTTTTTCCCTTGTTTTCACTTTTTTTCTTGTCCCTTCCTCCCTTTCTCCCTTCCTCCTCCCTTGTTAAGATTCGTGTGTGTCTCTTACAGATGTAGTTTTTTAAAATAAATTTTATTTTTCAATAAATGTTTTGCTATAAAAAGAGAAAATGAGGGCTGGGGATTTAGTTCAGTGCTGCCTCACAAGTGCAAGGTCCTCCTGAGTTCAATCCCTGGTACAAAAGAAAACCAGAGGCCCATAACCTTACCTGTTAGAGCTACTGCTGTGTGTGTGTTTGTAATCTGAACATTAGGACAAGTCAAGGACCTGTCTGTGCCATATTTTTAAAAATGTATAATATATTCCATTATATTAATAAGTGATACCTGATGGATAAACCATATTTAATGATCCATTTCCCTGTTGGTGGGCATTTGCAGTATCAGTTTTTCCCTATTAAGTAATGAACTAAAATTTTTTTTCTGATGAAGAATTTAATTTCAAAATATATAAATAACACTTACAAATCAATAATAAGACAATCCAAATAAAAGAATGTGTAAAAGGTCTTAGCAGACTCACCACTGACAACAGAGGAATGAA